TTTTTCATTTCGGGTAGTAGCTGCGTGGAATGACCTTCCTCCGACGGTTGTACACGCTCCTTCTCGAACCCAATTTAAAGCACTATTTATGCGAATCCTCGCGCTGGCGAGCATACTGCCCCGCGCTGAGAACATGAAGAGCAGTGCTACACCTTTTTTCACTTGTGCCTTTCAGGTGAACGACAGCCACTGACCGACAAGGGCAAAACCGACCAGGGAAACTTGGGCAAAAGCCTCGATCCTGTGTATCAATCCGTGAATCCGTGAAGCATACTGCCCCGCTCTGAGAACATAAAGAGCAGTGATACACCCTTTTTTCACTTGCGACTCTCAGGTGAACGACACTGACTGACCCACAAGAACAAAAGTGACCCGGGAAACCTGGGCCAATTCTGGATGCCGTGTATCAATCCGTGAGTCCGTGAACTAAACTGCATGAATCTGACGCAGTGTGGGATTTCAGACTCAAGGTCGTGGTAGTTTTTCTGGAATGACCGGGACAGGTTATGCCGTAACTCTCTTACGGGAGGGTAGGTTTCACAAGTCTGCGGATGGATGCACTGTACGAAAATGCAATACAATACTCCTACGTGGACCCGCTGGGATAATTGTTGTTAACCCCGGTTCCGTGTGGGATGCATCAGCACTTCATGAATCCCTGAAGTCGATCGGAGTCTCTCCCGAGGCTGTAAACTGCGTTATTTGTACTGACGGTCGTGCTGAACATGTTGGGTGCATCAGTCTTTTTTCAAACGCGGAGATGATGATCGTGGGTTATGACATTCAGAAACGAGGGGATATTTTCCTGGAGCACGATTTCGGTGACGGAATAGTCCCGTATGAATTTGATGAATACGTGAGTCAGTAATTTGAATCTGATTTGGATATTCACTCTTAAATGTCGAGTCTAACTACCACAAATCAACAGGCAGATGTTCTGAATGTTGATATCATCTGTTCTGGAGAGGACAGCGAGCCGGCGATTGGCACGCCTGAGGATGTAGTAAATAAAGTCTCCTGGCGGATCAAGCCAACCGCTATCCTATAGGTTGGGTCCTTCAAATCTTAATACGTTGGCTTTTAATTATACATGACTTGGCAGGTGGTCGGAACTCGTATACTGGTACGCTTCGGACCAGTGCGACAAAACGAAAATTCTCATATCAGGAAGCGTTTTATTAGAACATGATGCGCCTCCGCGGCTCACCATGGGTTGGGCCAATTGACTTGTCACAGTCGCCTGAGGGCTATTGAGTCTTCGTGTCATCTTCAAAGAAACAGTTCAAAGGATCATGAATAAGAATTATAAGACTGAGAGGACGAAAGGGTGGTCATTAGGCCTTTGCTTTTCAAGTCACACAGGCTATAGCAGGCGTTAGTCCGGCTGATATCGGTAGAAGGAACTGCTGCTTGGCTTCGACAAATCAATATATTTTTCACGGGAGACAACCGGAACTCTCGTTCATGCTATTCAACTGAATGTGCTGCGCAGAGGCCGCCTTATGTTACAGTTGGTACGATATTCGGAATATCGCAGTATGTTTTGATTGACTAGTCGTAAGGTTGCTGAAACTATTCGACGGCCCACAACCAGTTTCGTCGTTCTTGGGGCATTAGACTAGCCTCGGGTTTGACGGCGTTCCATTCGTTTTGTCACTGTTCACTGGCTTATTTTACTCTCGATCGCAGTGGTGAGTAGTGAATGTTTCAAGGGCCAGTTTTGTTAGCAGGGCATGGTTTTGTACCACACCGAAGGCCAGGTACTAGAACGACGTCATATGTACATGCGACCCACAGCATCCCACCGATGGATTTTCGGAGACACGTTTGAAACCGCTCACCGCCCTACTGTCCTTAAAGCGTCTACACTGCCACGACTACCTCGGGGTTTTTTACCGCACCATAAGCATGAGCTCTTGTAGGGGGGGGGGCAAATCACTGGTGTTCAGATTGTTCAGATGTCTTCCTTAGAATGGAGTACGTGGGCGAGGTAGACCAATTGGTTAGAGCGCGAATTTACTGACTGGATGGTCCGTGGTTCGACCCGACCTCTGCCTCTCGACTTCCCCTGTCTAGGCTTGGGAAACTTGACAGTATCCCAGCCCTCGTGTGGCATGGCAGTTAGGCACCGAAAGGGTGCTACAGCTAAGCGACACGGTTGATATCTTTCTCACTTCCAATAAGCTAAAGGCCGACAGAAGTTTGGGTCAACCGACTAAGCTCATTGCCTCCACAGGCATGGTCCTTGCCTCACACCTTAAGGTTATGCTACTGGTTGTGCAATCATGAAATCGTCACAGAAATGCGCTGAGTGTCGTGCAACATTTCACGCGTCTTGGGACTTGTATGTGTTGCTACTGTGGTTGGGCCAATGCGTTGATCTCTGGCTTGGTTTGATTCGCCAATCTAGGATATCCATGGCTTATTTCTAAAACTCAAGAGGCATGCAGTATTTTCTGTGTGAATGCAAGAGGGATTGAGAGCCGCGGGACTAAAAAATATTCAAGGATTTGATGAGCATCATCACAGAGTTATGACTGATAGAGTGTAGCCTCAACGAATCCGTGATGAAAAAAATATGATGTGGGTGTTCGGCTGCGCAACAGCCAAATCGGTCACGCCGTTTATGATCAGACCCAAAGGCTTTCATATTTACGTCATGATTAGTGCGTGCCAAATGATAGCGAAAACGGCGGTTCTAAGTGCGCCCATTTCAGAATGCCGCAGACTGAGACGTGGTGAATATTAGACCTCACGGATGGGACTAGGAGATATTACCCACGAAATGTGTACTTTCGGTTCTACCTAGGTTCTAGAGCGAGGTTGTGTGCCTCAGTTTGCGGGAAGTGGCCGCTAATCGATTACAGCGTCTGTGTGATTGTCAAACTTGGTACGGATAGCATATATGAGTGTCATGTGTAAATGCACTGAAATAAACGAGATAGGCAACACACCAACCACTAATCTTTTCGTCACACTAAAGTCCCTGCGTTCAGCTATAGCACTCTTCCGGTGCCTAGCTGCCATGCCACCCGAAGGAAGCACGAGGGCTGGGATACTGCCAGGTTGCCCAAGCCTAGACAGGGGAGATCGAGAGGCAGCGGTCAGGTTCGAACCTCGGACCTTCCGGTCAGTAAATTCGCGCTCTAACCACTTGGGCCATCTCGCCCCAAAAGTCCCTTTGAAGTCCCTGGTAAAGAATGGTTGTAAGGTAGCATAGTATTGGTGTAGGACAGTGATGTGCCACTGGTGAAAACGATAAAAATCGTTGAGGTCTTCCGAGAAGTATAGGTACATAGAGTCACTTAAGTTTTCGCCTCAAGGCGCTTGATCCAAGTGTTTCCATTGAGCAGTAGGTAAATGAGGAAAGATCTCCGGTGTCTAAACCCGTGATGTTCCTACTACAGTGTTTTGCGTCGTTCTAGGTGTGTTTGTAAATAGTGTGCTACGATGAGCTCTTAAATTGGAGGGCACTGGTAAATCTGTGATTGGTCGACTGGATCTCTCTCATCCTGTCGCATCCACTGTGTGGGAACCTTAGATATAGTAAGAATGCTTTGGCGGCATTGAAATAGCGAAGTTGCTATCATGGCAAACATAGCTCTTAGGCATAATGATAATACAATGACAACAGGATAATGTGATAAGTGTACAGCTGTGACACGCTTTCATTACGTAGCGGCCATCAATATAAATGAATATTAGCTCAGATGTAACACCCTTTCAATGTTACCCTTTTGGTGCTGACTTGCTACCCGAAGAGATCACGAGGGCTGAGATACTGCCCGACAAGAGCAGCTGAAATGCAGAATTTGGGTGCGAAATACGGACCCTGTGGTCGGTGAGTTCGCGCCCTAATTACTGAGCTATCTTAAGCTCAGCTGCCAGGTCACCTGAAGGAAGCACGAGGGCTGCGATACTGCCAGGGACAGCTAAGGTACTCGAGTTGGGTTGAAACCATGGACTTTCTGGTCATTAGTTTCGTGTCCTAACCACTGACCTATCTCAAGCTCTGGGAGGTGTGTCATCGGTATCCTCAGAGTTCGGGACAGCTCAGTGTCTAAGATGTGAACCTATCGACAGAGGTCCGTGATTCAAACCCAACCTCACCATCTCAGCTGCACCTGTCTAGGCTTCGGCAACCTGGGGGTATGTCAAGCCTCGTTCTTCCTTCAAGTGATATAGAAGCTAGGCACCGAGACGGTGTTATAGCTAGCTGAATTATTCCTTTTTTCATTCGTTAGTTCATTCCATCGCCATTTGGCTAAACAGTATGTGGCTCAGACGAGACGATATTTGAAATGAACGGTGTCGGGTGGTTGTGGGGAAAGTAGGCGAACAGGTCAGCCGACTCCATCAAAGAGCTCATTAGACCGGTTTTCGTGTGAAAGGGAGGTATACCATTTTTGACGTTCTACAACCAGTTGAGATCCGGATTTGTAGTAAACTGTTCTGTGAGTGGAAATTGTGGACGGTTTTCCTCCTCGTGTGCTATTGAAGTGCACTGATTCCACAGGATGGCCTAATTGTCTCATGTCGTTTCGTTGTGAGATTAGCACACAAACATGTATCGCCTCACACATTTTTATCATGCGGCGAATTCCGCTCTCTTTGCTAGTGGATTACGGCACATGTATGCCTCCTACATACTATCCTCACACACACCAGCCCCCGCACACCAACCCCCCCCCACTTAAAAGTCCCCTAGCAGCCCTGTATTTACGCTCCAGTATATCAGCTTCCGCCTCTAGTGCGCAGCTACCTCCCCTACCTCCCCAAATAATCGGTGGACGGAACTGTGACAGCTACAACCCCGACAAGTACGCGGTTCTTACAGCTAATAATAATGGCGATGATGACACCATCTGTGAGGAGCGTTAAACGATGGGATGTTATCCACATGTCCCCGGACAGCATCGTTTGCCCGGATTTTCGGACGTCAGCCAATATTGGCGCTGGATTCCTGAATTTGGTTTCGATGTTAAGGTATAAGATGCCGTTGAGATTTGTGCCGGTGATGTGGAGGGATTCGAGGACCAAGTAGTCGCTGTAATCAAGGGACATGATTGCTTCCGCAACGAGTTCCTCGTTCGTTGGGATGTCACGCAAGGATGGAATATGGGAGCACCGCTGAGTGGATTTCCCACATAGTTTAATAGTGGCATCGGGTGGATTAGTGGTGACATTTTGAAGGCAGACCCGCAGGGCACTTAGTCCGAGAGTTTTCAAACTTTAGAGTTACCTGTGAGCTACATTATCTGTGGCTACATTATGACTGGCAGTTAATATAAGGTCCCCATGGGATGTTGATAGGGCGGCATATCATAGTGAGGCATCTGTCTTCGTTGTCTAGGAAAGACTGCAGAAGTGGATATCTGTTACTTGTAGGGGGATGGTGTAGCTCCCGTTGTGAAGGTCAATCCCGCACTTCTCTTTTGATGTCTCACAAGTGGGAATCACAGGATCAGGATTTCCAAATCTGGTGTTTCCAGAGTTGGCCATATTTATCCGATCGTGATGGGGTCCAAGTTGGGATTGTGGCCCCGATCCAGTATGCTGAAGAGTCCCTAGGCATTGTTGTGACACGAAGTTCCATGTTGCTGACAGGATCTGTCGCTTTCCAATGACCTGCTCGTTTGAGTCGATAGGAGAATGTTTGGGGGGGGGCAGTGTGAACGATAGGGTTAGTGTTTCCAATGTGCTTATAGTTTGAGATGCCGCCATGTCACACCCCAAACTGGATTCGCAATGTGTTATATGTAAGGATGTCTCGGTTCCAAAGCGAAAGCGTCGTACTTGGGGGACTGTCTCCGTGCAAGTATCATCCCTTTAGTGCTCGAGACATCACATTCGTGGACAGCAAGGTATCCTTTGGGACACATGAAGCAATACGCCTTTAGTCGTCTGAAGTGGGTAGACGGACTTCTTCACCGGCTAGAAGGCTGGGAAGTTTCAGGAGCTCCGGGATATACCTTTATTCAGTCCAGTCATGGGGGCAATTAGCTGTTGGGTGTACGTCCGCATTCTCCGCAACTCCATGCATGAAAACTGCCTTAATATTCGTTCCGGTCCCAGCCTGGTAAAGGTCTCAGTCGCGGCGGTTGATCCTCTTGCCCCAGGAGGTGTCGTGTAGAACTTTTGCGTAGAATATGGATTTCCATAAATGCGATTCACACATTTCATTATGCTAAGAGTGACTCTCAAAAGGCGATGGATTGCAGCGACAATCAGAAAAAGAACGGAACAGACTGAGGGCCCGGAAGCTAGGCTTTTTTCAATCAAGACTTTGACATAGAGCTGAAACGAAAGAAAGAGGAAACATTTGAAAAACGGAGCAAATATACAACATGCAGCTAGAGTCTTAAGCTTTGCACTGACAACTATGGTAGGAAAACCGCATTCCGATTCTCATCTTTTTTCTGTTTCTTATTTGTTCTGCCAGGTGCAAGGCAACGGATCCTAAGACACTACTGCAGATCATTGTTAACAAGTCTGGGTGTTCGTCTGTGTGGACTAGTGGAAGCTAGTGTTTGCCGTTGGGGTCTTTGTCCCTGAAGAATTCTGGACCGCTCTATTTTGTCCCTCTCCGTATCTGTCCTCCAGGTTGTTCAGTAGTTGGATTTCCGACGAACATAATCTAGTTTAGTCCTCCGGGTTCGGGTTTGGAACATTTATGACAACTTGTTCTTTAAGGGGTGTAATGCGCTGGCATTTCCTGTCAAACACCACTGTCTTGTGGCCAGGCCTTTGAGCTGAAGGCTTTAGTCGAAGACCATACTCGTCCTTCCGTCCAGGTTTAAACGCACTGACAGTATCCGAGCTCACGTACAACCGTGATTCGTGCAATTCAAGATTCTATCCTGCCACACTGCCGTTGTGTGGTATAATCAGCCGGATTATCCCACTTGATGCATACAGCAATGTGGGTATGCGAAAACAGGCTATTTATGACATCTCCCTTTCCTGATGTCAAGTCTGATGGGCTGGTTCGTCTTGCATGGATGTTGGTCGCAGCACTGCGAGCCCACCGGCGCCGACAACCTCGATCTTCAAGTCACGACGGCCCGTCTCGACTGCTTGTTATATTTGCACTCTAAAATAAGCCGGACGACAATCTGCTCTTGCTCTCACGCTGGGCGCGGTTCATATCGGTGTGTGTTGTTTGTCAGGAACCAGAATTCAAGACAGTGGTTGGGCAAACTGCCCCGCCACTTTCCACTCGCTTCCGCCTGCATACCCCTGGCGATTCAGGGGCCACTGCTCATGGATATACAGTGTTCGGCATCGTCCGAAGTTGCCGGGTGGAATACCCGGCTTGAATGAACAGTCGCTGATGGTTGCGTGTGTGCGGTCTGGCAACGTCAATGGAGGAACCTCACAAACGGGAAGCTGATCTTTGTCTATGCTTCGTGTCCGATTACGCCTCAACCGACTGTAGGCTTGATATAGTCAAAGACAACCTTTATGCTGCCTTTATTGCCCCGTTTCGGCGCGGGGTTTGAATCGCTGATTGGATTGCTCATCTGAAACCCGATGGGGCGATCGACTTGGATTGCACTGGGTACATATGGACAACGACGGGTTAATTTTTGAATTATTTGCTGACCGCCGGCTTTTTTACGTGGTACTAACTTCCGAAGTCTTCTGGCCACGTGATTCCCTTCTTCATTATCGACAGCATGACATCAGTGTTCAACACAAATGCTTCACTGCCGTACAACCATGACTTATTTGAAATCCTTATTGTAAAGAAAAGAATAAAGGTGGACGGGGAAGGGACTTAGTGTTAGCTCAACACAATCATTCCGAGGTGCCTGCACCTCCAGACATTCACTCAGGCAATCTGGATAGAAACTAACAACAAGAACGCCACTGACATCGGTTGGCAGCCATATCTTGTAGTGTCTCCAACCAGGCACAGTGAGGATCACGCGGTCCCCATCCTTCATACTCTTCTGCCAAGTCCAGGGTTGGCCACCTCTCTGTTTACGCCACTCTGAATTGGGCATGGAAAACAGCACTCTTTGGCAAACGATGGTTAGACATACGCAATGCATGTGCCAACCAACGCAGCTTCTTCAATGGAAGTACCCGTTGCACAACCGAAAACGCGCTTTCTAACTGCCTCGTTACGGATTCGCCGACACCAACCCACACGAACTTTGGTTCTGAGACAACGATTGTTGAACACCTGAAGATGTCTCAGTTTAGCTACTTCAACAGGCCAAGTTTCACACCCATACAACAAAACAGCCCGTACTGTAGCTTGATACGTCCCTTGAGATTCAGGGATAAACTACTCTGACGCCATAGGTGTCTCAATTTAGCAAGCGCGGCCCGAGCCTTGCAGATTCGTGCATTGATCTCATCTGTCACACTACAATCAGAACTAATACAACTTCGAGAATACGTAAAATGCTCCACAACTTCCAGTACCTCTCCCTGGATTGTAAGTGGCGCGTTCAGTGACTGCACGTCCACCAGCATGACCTTACACTTTGTGGGTGCAAAGTGCATACCAAAGGACGGGATGACTTTGGTCAGTTCATCCAAGAATACTTGAGTCTTTTCCTCCTCTTCGAACATGAGAACTATGTCGTCTGCATATTCCAGATCGACAAGGTTTTCTTCACAGGCTATTTGAACACCAGGGTTTTGAAGACCCTCCAGCGTTCGTCTCATTATTTCATCGATCACAAAGTTAAAAAGGAATGGAGAGTGGGCATCCCTGACGGACACCGCTTTGTGTACGGAAGCTTTTGGAGCG